TGGATAATTAGCACAACGGTATGTTGAATGTTTCTTTTTGCAGAACATACATGTCCCCCAGCCTACTGCACGTTTGGAAGTTACCGGTTTGGGTGAACTAGTAACAGTAGGCTTGGAGGATGCTGCTGCATTGTCAGATTTTCTGCAACTTGATGTTAGAGTAATTGACTGATGTTTATTTGGGGTAGTTGTTTTACCCTTTGACTCTTATTTTCTATTTCTGAAGGCTTGCATGAGGCTTTAACTTCCTCATTTGCTCGTCGTTTGTTTATGATGGAATGTAAACCTTCAGTGATGTCCTGTATTGTCAGGATGGTGTTATGTTAATGTGCATATAATTCATCTAGTATATCGCTGGACAATTTTCGTTGAAGGACTACTTTGGTCATCCATTCACTAGTAGTTATATCAACCTTAAGTCTGAATGTTCTTAGTAGTGACTCAAACTCCATGCTGAAGGATTGTAATGAGTCAGCAGTCTGATCAGGTTGAGGTAAATCCAGCAATTGTAGTACTAGATGTATGACAGTTTTCTCATTGCCAGCATTATTCCTAGGAGGCTGGACTGGGAAATTAGTGCTGTCGCTATTTTCATTTACATTTTCTACTACTGGTTCAGCTTCACCTCTAGTTTGGAGGCATGTTAACTTAGTGGCCTCAGGTATTGGGTTTTCAGAAACCACAGAGACTGTGGATAAATTGTCTGAAAACTGCTTAATTTCTGGTGGTATATTATTGGGTGAAGCTGTAGTGGGTGAAGCTTTATCCTTGTTGATTAAAGGATCTAATCTGGCTTTACATTTATTCTCAAAAAGATCCAGATCATCCATAACATTATCTACTTTATTTGATGTACTTGCTATTTGTTCTGATTCAATTATCCTGTGTAAATGTTCCAACCTGCCTTGAGTTTCTTCTTCATATTGTGCTAGGTCAGACAGGAATGGTTCCACATCTTCAACTACTACGTCATCGTGGACTTGATTTTGGTAAGATTTCCTATTTGCTTTCAATATATGCAATTGGGTTTGAATCTGTAACAGTGGTATTTTCAACCGATGATAATTAATTACAGGCTCATATAACAACTGTTCATATTGGTTGAGATCCCTTGTTAGTTGGCGTTTGCTTGCTATTAAAGCACGCTTTGCTTTCTGTGGATTAGTCATGGTGACTTGTTAATTGAGCACCACTGGCTCATAAATTGTGAGCAAGTACTAATGGTAGCCTAGGGTTAAATTCTGCACTCACTAGGCAATAATCCTACCTCTACTAGAGGTTAGCACTTAAAATTAATACACATTATATATATACAATCATCCACACTAATGATTTGAGTGATAAACCAGTGTCACTGGAAGTACCTTTAGGTTAGCTCTTCTATATCACCCTAGGATGGTAGAGACACTAATTAATCACTCAAAGGTGTAATGATCATAAGTAAATTATTATATATACACAACTCAACTCGAGTTGATAAAAATTACACCCAAAATAGGGTCTGGACCATTCATTAATGGTGTTAGGTTATTCAATATAGTACAACTGACTATGGTAATAATGGGACTAGGATGAGCAATAATAGTTCAACTAGTCAATGGTTTTATCCTACACTGTTGTGGGTTGGCAATTAGTAAATATTATACTGTGATCACTAGTGCAATATATATTAAATAATTCTCTATTTTGGAGAAATAATATACACAATTATTGATAATAGCCTCTTAATTGCCTCTATGAAACTTCTAATAATATCTAGAAGTATTAAATATTATTAGTGACCTCGCGAAATAAAGTCCACAAAATTCGTGGATAATCTCTCGCGAAATGTAACACCACGAAATCCGTGAACAATATCGCGAAGACACAGTCACTAATTTGGCTGGCTTCAATATTAGCGCTGTCATTTCACGAAATAACACGCCACCAAATATCTGTGGGTGTGCATGAAACCGCTGACGAAGCTGAACTCAGTTGAGGGGGGGCTCCTGAGCTCCCACGAGGCTTCGCCGCTGTCTTTGACTGGCTGGCCTTTGTTTAAATAACACTGCACTAGTATATTTAATGAATCCACTGGTTAACTGGTTCATCCGGTACTAAGATGACCAAATGTGGGTTCAAAGGACCAAATATTCCGGTTCCGAAGGTCCAAATAATGTGGGAACCGACCTGTGAGATTTATATTTATTTAATTTATATGAATTTATATTTACGTTAATTTATATACTTCGATAGCAATTTGTATAATGATAAGTGGACTGTATTTCTGCAATAATCTCATAATCTCACAAATCGATCCTCTACACATTAGGGGGGGTTTATATTTATATATGCAGCCAATCAAACTACAGTAATAGACTACACACATTGAAGAGGTTCCTTATCTTATAGTACAGCAGGCTAGTCCACCAGGTATAACTAGGGTGTAGACACCAAATTATCCTCTTTGAGGTAGCTTCCATCACCCAGTAACTGATGCACAAAACATATGCTTCCTCGTCTTGACCTGTCAAAAGGGCGCTAGCTGTAAAGCCAGATTCTATATATGACAAGTATTTCAGAGAAAACTGTACATGGAACATTAAAGACCTGGCTTAATTACCTTTAGTTTGAGGCTCCCACGTGCTCTAACCGGTTCACCCTATATAATGACATTAATGGCCATAAATGAAAATAAACGGGTTTCGGAAAGAACACTTAACTTGATTTGTTGACAGCGTGTTGAAAATGGTACACCCTTGGTTTCCATAACACTACGTCCAAGTAAAATTAACAGGAGCCGCATTTGCTCCCGTGAGCCTCTGGTCTAGTATAAACAATGGCTGCCCTCCTTCCTCCCTGACGCCTGGCTTACATTGTCCAGATTTCAGAAAGTGATAGAAGGGTCACATTTACTCTACTTTAATATTGATAATTAAGTTAATTTATATAAGATGTTTTATGATGGTAAAGTCCAAAGACTAATGTATTTAAGAACAATTCCCAGCAGAATAGCTGGTGAATTATAATAGTATGTGGTGATGATATCCCGTTTTCTATAGACGGTAATTCCACTACAAGTTACGTTTTCTATGGGTAACTTGTTTATACAACACAGCTCTTATCTGTCTGTATGATATTATTGTTAAATGGTGTCGGATTTTCCGACAAAAGTCTCCTCACATGAATATGTTGATCAACTCCACTGTTGTTGCCTGTAACTGGCAGGATGATGAGGTCGCTTTTATTCACACGGGATACTCATCATGTGTGTTGTGTAAACTTTGTATACTCTACACGACGTCACGGGCCGAGGGAGGTACACGGGGAGCGGGCCGAGGGAGGGACACGGGGAGCGGGCCGAGGGAGGTACACGGGGAGCGGGCCGAGGGAGCATCACGGGGAGCGGGCCGAGGGAGCATCAAGGGGAGCGGGCCGAGGGAGCATCACGGGGAGCGGGCCGAGGGAGGTACACGGGGAGCGGGCCGAGGGAGGGACACGGGGAGCGGGCCGAGGGAGGTACACGGGGAGCGGGCCAAGGGAGCATCACGGGGAGCGGGCCGAGGGAGCATCACGGGGAGCGGGCCGAGGGAGGGACACGGGGAGCGGGCCGAGGGAGGTACACGGGGAGCGGGCCGAGGGAGGTACACGGGGAGCGGGCCGAGGGAGGTACACGGGGAGCGGGCCGAGGGAGGTACACGGGGAGCGGGCCGAGGGAGGTACACAGGGAGCGGGCTGAGGGAGCATCACGGGGAGCGGGCCGAGGGAGCCTCACGGGGAGCGGGCCGAGGGAGGTACACGGGGAGCGGGCCGAGGGAGGTACACGGGGAGCGGGCCGAGGGAGGTACACGGGGAGCGGGCCGAGGGAGCATCACGGGGAGCGGGCCGAGGGAGGTACACGGGGAGCGGGCCGAGGGAGCATCACGGGGAGCGGGCCGAGGGAGCATCACGGGGAGCGGGCCGAGGGAGGTACACGGGGAGCGGGCCGAGGGAGGTACACGGGGAGCGGGCCGAGGGAGGTACACGGGGAGCGGGCCGAGGGAGCATCACGGGGAGCGGGCCGAGGGAGGTACACGGGGAGCGGGCCGAGGGAGGTACACGGGGAGCGGGCCGAGGGAGGTACACGGGGAGCGGGCCGAGGGAGGGACACGGGGAGCGGGCCGAGGGAGGTACACGCGGAGCGGGCCGAGGGAGGTACACGGGGAGCGGGCCGAGGGAGGTACACGGGGAGCGGGCCGAGGGAGCATCACGGGGAGCGGGCCGAGGGAGGTACACGGGGAGCGGGCCGAGGGAGGTACACGGCGAGCGGGCCGAGGGAGGTACACGGGGAGCGGGCCGAGGGAGCATCACGGGGAGCGGGCCGAGGGAGGTACACGGGGAGCGGGCCGAGGGAGGTACACGGGGAGCGGGCCGAGGGAGGTACACGGCGAGCGGGCCGAGAGAGCATCACGGGGAGCGGGCCGAGGGAGGTACACGGGGAGTGGGCCGAGGGAGGTACACGGAGAGCGGGCCGAGGGAGGTACACGGGGAGCGGGCCGAGGGAGGTACACGGAGAGCGGGCCGAGGGAGGTACACAGGGAGCGGGCCGAGGGAGGTACACGGGGAGCGGGCCGAATGAGGTACATGGGGAGCGGGCCGAGAGAGCATCACGGGGAGCGGGCCGAGGGAGGTACACGGAGAGCGGGCCGAGGGAGGTACACGGGGAGCGGGCCGAGGGAGGTACACGAGGAGCGGGCCGAGGGAGCGGGCCGAGGGCAGCTCAATAAGCCTCCTCAGCGCGGGAAAAACTCATCACAGGTTTGGACGTTCATGTGATATATTAACCTCCCTCCCCCACCGCCCCCCACCCCACCCCCACCCGGCGCTCCCCACCCTGTTGGGGGTTCTTTCTGGTTTTTCCCCTGCTCTGGGGTCCTTCCTCTCCCAGGGGCGGTGCCCCAACACCCCCTCCGCCCGCCCCTCATCTGTCAGCGCCAACTGACTCTTGTAAAGCCGTAGAGCCGCGAGATTTAACTTACAACATGAAGTTATTTTCAACATCTTACCTTAAGCCAATAAATTCTCATCGTCATTCCAACCGCCCTGCCATCATTCCAACCGGCCTGCCATCATTCCAACCAGCCTGCCATCATTCCAACCGCCCTGCCATCATTCCAACCGCCCTGCCATCATTCCAACCAGCTTGCCATCATTCCAACCAGCCTGCCATCATTCCAACCGCCCTGCCATCATTCCAACCGCCCTGCCATCATTCCAACCGGCCTGCCATCATTCCAACCAGCCTGCCATCATTCCAACCAGCCTGCCATCATTCCAACCAGCCTGCCATCATTCCAACCGGCCTGCCATCATTCCAACCGGCCTGCCATCATTCCAACCAGCCTGCCATCATTCCAACCGCCCTGCCATCATTCCAACCGCCCTGCCATCATTCCAACCGGCCTGCCATCATTCCAACCAGCCTGCCATCATTCCAACCAGCCTGCCATCATTCCAACCAGCCTGCCATCATTCCAACCGGCCTGCCATCATTCCAACCGGCCTGTCATCATTCCAACCGCCCTGCCATCATTCCAACTGGCCTGCCATCATTCCAACCGGCCTGCCATCATTCCAACAGGCCAGCCATCATTCCAACCGGCCAGCCATCATTTCAACCGCCCTGCCATCATTCCAACCGCCCTGCCCTCATTACAACCGTCCTGCCATAATTCCTACCGGCCTGTCATCATTCCATACCGGCCTGTCATCATTCCAAAAGGCCTGTCATCATTCCAACCGGCCTGCCATCATTCCAACCGGCCAGCCATAATTCCACCCGCCCTGCCATCATTCCACCCGCCCTGCCTTCATTCCAACCGTCATGCCATCATTCCAACCGTCCTGCCATCATTCCAACCGTCCTGCTATCATTCCAACCTGCCTGCCATCATTCCAACCTGCCTGCCATCATTCCAACCTGCCTGCCATCATTCCAACCTGCCTGCCATTATTCCAACCTGCCTGCCATCATTCCAACCTGCCTGCCATCATTCCAACCTGCCTGCCATTATTCCAACTTGCCTGCCATTATTCCAACCTGCCTGCCATTATTCCAACCTGCCTGCCATCATTCCAACCTGCCTGCCATTATTCCAACCTGCCTGCCATCATTCCAACCTGCCTGCCATCATTCCAACCTGCCTGCCATCATTCCAACCTGCCTGCCATCATTCCAACCTGCCTGCCATTATTCCAACTTGCCTGCCATTATTCCAACCTGCCTGCCATTATTCCAACCTGCCTGCCATCATTCCAACGTGCCTGCCATTATTCCAACGTGCCTGCCATCATTCCAACCTGCCTGCCATCATTCCAACCTGCCTGCCATCATTCCAACCTGCCTGCCATCATTCCAACCTGCCTGCCATCATTCCAACCTGCCTGCCATTATTCCAACCTGCCTGCCATCATTCCAACCTGCCTGCCATCTTTCCAACCTGCCTGCCATCATTCCAACCTGCCTGCCATCATTCCAACCTGCCTGCCATCATTCCAACCAGCCTGCCATCATTCCAACCGGCCTGTCATCATTCCAACCGGCCTGCCATCATTCCAACCGGCCTGCCATCATTCCAACCAGCCTGCCATCATTCCAACCAGCCTGCCATCATTCCAACCGGCCTGCCATCATTCCAACCAGCCTGCCATCATTCCAACCGGCCTTCCATCATTCCAACCTGCCTACCATCATTCCAACCTGCCTGCCATCATTCCAACCGGCCTGCCATCATTCCAACCTGCCTGCCATCATTCCAACCGGCCTGCCATCATTCCAACCTGCCTGCCATCATTCCAACCGGCCTGCCATCATTCCAACCTGTCTGGAAAGGTTGTGTTGTGTGTGTAGTGTATGTTGAGGGTGGTGTAGGTGGGTAGGCGGATGACTAGGTAGGTCGGTAGATCCACCCACCCACCTCGGGTAGGTGGGTGGATGAGTGAGTGGGTGCATTGACTAGGTAGTGGGTGGATGAGTGAGTGGGTGCATGGACTAGGTAGTGGGTGGATGAGTGAGTGGGTGCATGGACTAGGTAGTGGGTGGATGAGTGAGTGGGTGGATGAATGAGTGGGTGCATGGACTAGGTAGTGGGTGGATGAATGAGTGGGTGCATGGACTAGGTAGTGAGTGGATGAGTGAGTGGGTGCATGGACTAGGTAGTGGGTGGATGAATGAGTGGGTGCATGGACTAGGTAGTGGGTGGATGAATGAGTGGGTGTGTGGACCAGTTACGAATGAGTGGGTGGGTGGAGGAGTGGGTAAGTGGTTGGAGGAGTGAGTTGGTGGGTTGTTGAAAACTTCCAGCAAAATTATAGCATAACATGTCGTATAACATGGTTTATGAAAGTACCTGGACCTGGCATGCTATGTATAGGACAAGCCAAGCTCTCTCAAGACAGACAGAGTTTCAAGTCAACATATTGAGGGCCTCCTTAATGGATCCATATTAGGATATGTAATTGCAACTAATAAGCTATAAGCATATCATGGTAATACTCCAAAATATCCAAAATAAATGTGTATACTTAGTAAATAATTGTATAACCAAATGCATTTGGTTAATGACTGTATAAATGGATCCTTAAAAGAGGCAGGATACCTATACCTACCTTGGGGTGGATTCGACTAGTGTCCAGACGGTGACGATTTAGTAAATAAGACCATTCCATCTCTTGGGGACACTCCATGGTTGGGACTCCTGGTTCATCCTTGACGACGAGCGGACGTCTGGACGCTTCCTCGCCTGGGAGCCGCCTGATCGCGTTCTGTTTTCACGTTTTGGCTTTGCTACTGCCGTTTGGCATCCCTATCAACGGTCCGGTAGTAGGACGCCTGGCGCACGTATCGCCTTGGGTCACGGGATTGTTGATAGAATTTTTTTTTTTACGTGTTCTGGCTGGTTCTCTCGGCGGTGTGACGGTGTCCAGCGCCGGCTTGGCCGAGAGGAGCCGGGAGTTGGTGGGCTCCTGGTGTGCCCTCAGCCGTGGTGGGCGGCTCGTTTCTGCTCTGCCGGGGGACACTGGATGACTTTTGCGTTTATGCGGGAAGGGGGGGGGGTAGTTTTGGTTTTGCTCCCCAGTGTTCTCTGTGTGGGGCGAGGCCGGTGTTTGTCACCCTGGGGGACTCCTGGGGCTCCCCAGTGTTCTCTGTGTGGGGTGGGGCCGGTGCTTGTCACCCTGAGGGACTCCTGGGGCTCCCCGGTGTTGTCTGTGTGGGGCGGGGCCGGTGCTTGTCACCCTGGGGGACTCCTGGGGCTCCCCAGTGTTGTCTGTGTGGGGCGAGGCCGGTGCTTGTCACCCTGAGGGACTCCTGGGGCTCCCCAGTGTTGTCTGTGTGGGACGGGGCCGGTGCTTGTCACTCTGGGGGACTCCTGGGGCTCCCCGGTGTTGTCTGTACTCACCTAGTTGTACTCACCTAGTTGTGTTTGCGGGGGTTGAGCTCTGGCTCTTTGGTCCCGCCTCTCAACCGTCAATCAACAGGTGTACAGATTCCTGAGCCTATCGGGCTCTGTCATATCTACACTTGAAACTGTGTATGGAGTCAGCCTCCACCACATCACCCCCTAATGCATTCCATTTGTCAACCACTCTGACACTAAAAAAGTTCTTTCTAATATCTCTGTGGCTCATTTGGGCACTCAGTTTCCACCTGTGTCCCCTTGTGCGTGTTCCCCTTGTGTTAAATAGACTGTCTTTATCTACCCTATCAATCCCCTTCAGAATCTTGAATGTGGTGATCGTGTCCCCCCTAACTCTTCTGTCTTCCAGCGAAGTGAGGTTTAATTCCCGTAGTCTCTCCTCGTAGCTCATACCTCTCAGCTCGGGTACTAGTCTGGTGGCAAACCTTTGAACCTTTTCCAGTTTAGTCTTATCCTTGACTAGATATGGACTCCATGCTGGGGCTGCATACTCCAGGATTGGCCTGACATATGTGGTATACAAAGTTCTGAATGATTCTTTACACAAGTTTCTGAATGCCGTTCGTATGTTGGCCAGCCTGGCATATGCCGCTGATGTTATCCGCTTGATATGTGCTGCAGGAGACAGGTCTGGCGTGATATCAACCCCCAAGTCTTTTTCTTTCTCTGACTCCTGAAGAATTTCCTCTCCCAGATGATACCTTGTATCTGGCCTCCTGCTCCCTACACCTATCTTCATTACATTACATTTGGTTGGGTTAAACTCTAACAACCATTTGTTCGACCATTCCTTCAGCTTGTCTAGGTCTTCTTGAAGCCTCAAACAGTCCTCTTCTGTTTTAATCCTTCTCATAATTTTAGCATCGTCCGCAAACATTGAGAGAAATGAATCGATACCCTCCGGGAGATCATTTACATATATCAGAAACAAGATAGGACCGAGTACAGAGCCCTGTGGGACTCCACTGGTGACTTCACGCCAATCGGAGGTCTCACCCCTCACCGTAACTCTCTGCTTCCTATTGCTTAGATACTCCCTTATCCACTGGAGCACCTTACCAGCTACACCTGCCTGTCTCTCCAGCTTATGTACCAGCCTCTTATGCGGTACTGTGTCAAAGGCTTTCCGACAATCCAAGAAAATGCAATCCGCCCAGCCCTCTCTTTCTTGCTTAATCTGTGTCACCTGATCGTAGAATTCTATCAAGCCTGTAAGGCAAGATTTACCCTCCCTGAATCCATGTTGGCGATTTGTCACGAAGTCCCTTCTCTCCAGATGTGTTACCAGGTTTTTTCTCACGATCTTCTCCATCACCTTGCATGGTATACAAGTCAAGGACACTGGCCTGTAGTTCAGTGCCTCATGTCTGTCGCCCTTTTTGTATATTGGGACCACATTCGCCGTCTTCCATATTTCTGGTAGGTCTCCCGTCTCTAGTGATTTACTATACACTATGGAGGGTGGCAAGCAAAGTGCCTCTGCACACTCTTTCAGTACCCATGGTGAGATCCCATCTGGACCAACCGCCTTTCTAACATCCAGATCCAGCAGGTGTCTCTTGACCTCCTCTCTCGTAATTTCGAACTCCTCCAAGGCCGCCTGGTTTACTTCCCTTTCTCCTAGCACAGTGACCTCACCCTGTTCTATTGTGAAGACCTCCTGGAACCTCTTGTTGAGTTCCTCACACACCTCTCTGTCATTCTCTGTATACCTGTCCTCGCCTGTTCTAAGTTTCAATACCTGTTCTTTCACTGTTGTTTTCCTTCTGATGTGACTGTGGAGTAGCTTTGGTTCGGTCTTAGCTTTGTTTGCTATATCATTTTCAAAAATTTTCTCTGCTTCTCTTCTCACCCTGACGTACTCATTCCTGGTTCTCTGGTATCTCTCCCTGCTTTCTGGTGTTCTGTTATTCCGGAAGTTCCTCCACGCCTTCTTGTTCAGTTTCTTCGCTTCCATACATGCCCTATTATACCATGGATTCTTTTGTTGCTTCTCGGATTTTTCCCTTTGGGCCGGGATGAACCTGTTTACTGCCTCCTGACACTTTTGGGTAACATAGTCCATCATACCCTGTACAGACTTGTCTCTGAGGTCTGTGTCCCAAGGTCTCTGTCTCTGAGGTCTGTGTGGGGCGGGGCCGGTGCTTGTCACCCTGAGGGACTCCTGGGGCTCCCCGGTGTTGTCTGTGTGGGACGGGGCCGGTGCTTGTCACCCTGAGGGACTCCTGGGGCTCCCCGGTGTTGTCTGTGTGGGG